AAACAGTTAAAAGTTGTTGGGATTGTATCTTTAATTTTTTGTATAACTTCATGATAATTAGATAGATTTAGAGATCTATCATGATTAGAAGATTGAGTCTCATCATGATTAAGAGTTTGAATCCTATTCTAATCAGGAAGTTAGGCTAAAAATATGATTTTTGGTGTTTCTATATATATTCTTCTATTATTAAAGGAAAAACTAAAGGAGAAGGGAGATAGCAAATATTCTTCTAATCTATGGTTAGCAGAGGGCGTAGCCTGATTCAAGAATATTGTGCAAGAGCTGAGGGTTTCGTGGTCTTTATCTGTACAAAAGATTACAACATTGGTAGAGGGTTTCACAGTCTTTATCCGTTCAAAAGATTATAAGTAGTGGGTTTTGGAGAGAATATGAGAGTTGATTATGTATGAGAGATTGAGAGACGATAGTTGAATGGTTTCTCTTGTAGTTCTCCCTGATACATAGTGAATTTCTCGTATTGTAGTTTAAATCTCAGTGTTCTTTCTTCTTGAGTGTGGTTGTTTTATATCTTGTTGATTGTGGGTTGGCTTCCGGGTTGCCCAAATCGTAGTAAGCGCGGAGACTAAAATTTCCCAACAAAAGTAGCTATCTCTATTTCAGTAAAGAAGGATTAAACTGATAAATTTGTATGGTAAAATTTGAGTCCAAATTCTATCAGAATACCCTATATACGAGCTAAATCGTAAGATTTATTTTTTACATAGAAGTTTCAGAGATTATTATTATTATTTTCTTTAAATAAAGGAAATCATTTTTTAACCCCTCCAAAGTATCGATTTGTGAGCCCTCGTTTGGAGAGACTCAGAGACCTAACTCTTTTTTAACCCATCTAAAATGATCATCTAAATCCTATTTAGATTTTTATGTTTGACGAATTAAAACGAGTTAATTAACTCACTCTTTTCTATGCGCAACTTTTTTGTGTTGACAATGACGGGTTAAATTAAGAAGCGTTAACTATTTTTTAAACCCTTGCTTAACCCATTTAACATAAGTTCAAGTCGTCACATCATCTTTCATTCTCACAAGTACACTTTTGGGAGCACTCATGGGCTAAATTTCTACCGCTTAATCAAGAGGCAAACATGGGTTAGTTCGATAATTGAGTTGTCCATTAACCATGGCCACAACAAATTTCCATCCTAGTCATTTTCTTCTTTTCAAAAGAAAATTGAAATCCACTGTAAAATTATATTTTAAGAAACTTATAATCACAATTAGAAGATGTGTGAAAAAGATCGTTTGCAACTTCACGTCCAAGCGAATTATATTATGACTGTTCACTGATAATGAGCGTGATTGTACGTACGGGAGAAGATTCTCTACATTATTAATTTAGTTTTTTTTTGTCATAATTTTCTCTTCCAATGAAATAGGATAATCCTATCCTTATCTTATCTCCACCATTTTTATTTTTATTTTTTGGTGTTTGAAAGAGGAAATACCTCACATCCTATCTACGTATTTTTCTTATTCCGTATTTGTAATTGAGAAACATGCGAATGCAATATTTTACTATGCATTATAGTTGGAGCTGCATGTGACTTCAAAATATTTAGTCTAACATTGAGAATTTAAAGAGGTGGTGGTGCAGCTGGTGCTATTAGAAGTGCATCACTTTTGTCTAATGACATGAACATCTCCATAATATAGTCAAATACTTAGCATGCGCTTTGTACCTTTTGCTTTATTTTCCCTCATTCTTTTTTTTTTTTTGTGAGCATAAGAAGTGCAATAATTCAACTTCGAAAGGTGCATCACTTGTGAGCTTGCAATATTTTGTTCCCCACCTCACGTTTTATCATGAGTTGGTAGAAGGGAGTATCAATCATTAGCTTATTTTATTGCCATGGATCCATTCATTGGCTACTTTATAAGGTTTAGTGGCTTCATGTGTAGTAGTGGCTATGGAACCAATCATATAATTGACTTCGTGTCCTTTTAAGTGTGTGTTCAAGGTGAAGCAATGGTGGGAGGAAATTTTCCCTTTAATAAACTCTTGGTGTCTTATGTCGTATTGAAACACTAGGGGGACTAATAAGCAATAAAAGAGAAAAAGAAAAGAAATGCAAACCTTCAAATAATTCTCCATCTTCATCTTCATCTTCATCATCCAACAAAGAGAAGAAGAGAAAAATTTAAAGTGGTGAAAAAATTATTATTATTAATTGCAACTAAAGTTACAATTTTGGAAGGCCTTCTCAATTAAGAGTAGCCCTCCTCTCCAAAAGGAGTTACAAAAATTTTCACACCTCTAACCCCTCACTCTCTACCCCTATTTATAGTAAACATCAGTGAATGAGAGCCATTGGATCAAACTTGAGCCCCAAGACAAGCAAAATCAGCCATTGACGCGCGCTACAGTAATCTGGTATCGATGCAGGTATCGATGCCAGCATCGATGCAGGTATCGATGCCAGCATCGATGCAGGTATCGATGCCAGCATCGATGCCGACATTGATGCCCACTATTTCCAAATTCTGATTTCACGGATAGCTTCGTCTCGTCGAGAAATCAATGGCTGTGATTATGTAGTGGTCCCTCCACTATTTTTTTTGTAGTGGAGAGGATCCGAATCCTATATATAGAGCTAAGAAAAGTATAAAAAAGGCTCACTATTAAATTTTATTAGTGCAGTAAATATATATTATTAGTGTCAGGTCTCTACATTAGTACAATTAGAATATTGTATCAATGCAATCATCGACATTAAAATCCGAACGCTTGCCATAACATCCTTCCTCTCTGTATGGTTGCTACATAAGATCCTCTAAAGAATTCTTTCCCTTTGAATTTTTAGTCTTGATTTGGTTTATTAGAAAAAAAAGGAAAAAGTGAACTAGATTATGGAAGATATTGTAAAGTATAAGATCTTAAAGAACTTGTTATTTAAATAAAGGTTTGATTAAGTAAACATTTCGTGACTATGTATTGATATTGAAAGAGCTGTATTATAAACTAAAGTACTGTCATCTCATTCCCTATGCGTGCGTGGTGGAATTTGTCCTTGGAGAAGTCAATGGATTCATGAGCCGTCCATGATTATAGTCTATGTTGCATGATTATAGTCTATGTTGCTTGCACTTAGTATAAAATTACATTTATCCAGTACTTGAAAGCGTTGGATTATAACAATTTTTTTTTATAAAGTAAAGTATTGGGAACATTGCGTAAATATTTTAACTAGAGAAAGTGCATATAATCTTGTGCACATTTGTTCGAACTTTACGATTCAACTAACACAAGCGAGAAGGAGGTGAGGAAATTTCTAAGGGCCCGCGTGTTTGTCACTTAGTATAAAATTACATTTATCTAGTACTTGAAAGCGTTGGATTATAGTTATTTTTTAGTAAAGTTAAGTACCAGGAACATTGCGTATATATTTTAATGAAAATACTTTTTGGCTCGCGTCCTCCCCAGCTCACGCCCAACTCGCAGAGAGCGGAACAGGGGGTGGGGCCCATAGCTGGGCCCCACCTCCCCTGTTCCGCGGGGGGGGGGGGGGGGAGCCAAAAAAGTAGGATTGATATTTTAACTAGAGAAAGTGCATATAATCTTCTGTACACTTATTCAACTTTAGGATTCAACTTACACAAGTGAGAAGGAGGCGAGGAAATTTCTAAGTGCTCGTGTTCATATATATAGATGTGTATATATATGAGAAATATGAGTATGCTTGATATCAAATATAAATTTTGTGTTTGGTAGTGAGATGACATAATCCCCTCCACTCATTCAAATGGGGGATCACGTTCACATGAGTTGAGAAGTGCATTGGGATATGCAACCATTTGAATGAGTGGATGAGATTATGTCATCTCACTACCAAGCACAACTTGTTGTGCTTGGTACCAAGCATACTCATTTCACTCTCTCTCTCTCTCTCTCTCTCTCTCTC